CGCGCAGTTCCCCCCCCGGCTTTTCGGGGAGGGGGGCAAATGGGTAAAGGGGCAGAGGCCTCCCCCAGTCGGGGGACCCCCCCCCCCCCCCCCCCCCCCCCCCCTCATTCCCAATCTCCGGGGACCCGTTACGTCGTTTGTCTAGTAGGGGTTGGTTTTCACGTCATTAAAATCAAAAATATTTTCTTTGTCTTTCGTCTCCTACAGCTGGAAAGAGACCAATCGTTTCACAACAACACCCTCTCTCACCTACTCCTACTACCTGGCTTTTTGGCTCCGCTGTGAGAGCTACCGCACGTGCATGGTTGGCGGCGAAATAAGCCTCTCACGTATGCGTATGTGTGTAAGCACAGCTACACCGTTTTTCGTGTATGAGCGCATCCATCCGCGTGACGCGCGCGTGCCGCGTGTGTGTGTTTGCTTTTGTGAACATCGACCACGCTAGCTAACCCGCTGACCAACGAAAAGACGTCGGTCTGAGTTTGAAGCCACAAAATTCTTCGAAATTCTTGTACAGGCTATACCATGATCGTCTGGGATCCCGTGAGGGGGCGTCATCGGGCAGGCTATGCTACTCTGCGGAGTAGAGACTATACCGTATGCGGCAATAGCAGAAGAAAACTGCACGTGTTTACCATGGCTTACGTGGTATGTGTGTGTGTGTGTAACGGCAGGATCCTGGTGACGGACGCGGAGCTGATTCGGAAGATCGCCGACCACCCGGATGTGGACCGGGTTCACGGGGTCCCCACGAAGGAGAGACCGTGGTGAGTCTGTCTGTCTACAGTCAGGTTTATGCTTGCGAAACTGTTTCTTCTGATTCACGAGAAGCCTTAGTAAGCCTGTCTACACGAGTGCTTGTTGTAAAATTGTTTTGCGTTAGTTGGTCCGAAGTCTGTGCATGCTTGTGAAATGATTTTTGATGCGCGAGAGAAGCCTTGGTATTGTCGTTTCTTTAGCACCGTTTTTGTCGGGATTTTTTCTCTCTCTCTGATTGGGGGGATGGCCTGCAAGGGAAAAAAAATTTAAACTCGATCCACCTTCTTACGGCTCCTGGAGAAATACTTTTTCCCAGTGGTAAAAATAAAGACCGGTTCAGGTTTTTGTGGGTCACAACATGCATCATCTCACGTCCTCCGCTTGTGTACGGCCAACAACACACAGAGCGTCCTGTTTATGGGACGCGAGCAGAGGTTATGGGTATGACCACACGCCATTGGCTCGGTTTGCGGATGTCGTGGGCCTAAAGCCTCCGTCTGACGTGCGTTTTTGACTGGTTACACTACACATGCAGCAGGCATCTTTTTAGCCGAAAGGCAAGAAGGTCAGCAGCGCCAAGTGGCAGGGGGTGATCTTTTCGGCTCGTTTGCGGCCAACAATACATAGAACGCCCTGAATGTCTGACACCTGCGCAGAGGGTTGGCGCATGGCCTCACGGTCCTGGCCTGTGTTTGGGCAGCAGACGGTGAAGTTCCTCGTTCTGACACGATCGGCGTGTGACACGCCCCCCCCCCCCCCCCCCCCC